ATAGTATATTCCAGTAAGATATTTCTATAATTTTATCAATATTTGACACACATCCTATTTTTGCAACAAGCATAGCAGGTGGGAATATGAGCTTACGCGCATGCTAACCTTCATCCGGCGAGCGTTCACGTCCAGTTGACAAGTAAGACTCTCATCCCACACTGGTAGGGCCAACATTAATCATCGTTGTCCTGGTTCCAAACTGGGCAGCCAATGGTATCAGACTTTAAACTCGGACTGCTTTCGCTGATATTGAGAGGGACCTTTCTGCTTTACCGTCTTGTTTTTTCGGACTATGCGTTTCTAGTTTCAATTGTGATTGATTAATTCAATGGTGTTTTTCCCTAACCTCACTCTCCTGCTTGCCTTAAAGGATGGCTCCCGAAGTTGCCTCGGTGGAGTCGCGGCCTACGGGCTACGACAGTAAATGCGACATTTGGGCTGTTGGCATCACTGCAATTGAGTATGCCGAGCTCCAACCTCCGCTTTTCGACATGGATCCCCTTATGTAAGTCCTGATACCCCAATTCCCACATACATACTACCTTTGCATTCTACCTCGAGTTTTTACCGACTCCTATTGGAGTCCAGTCTCCTTGTGTTATAAGACGCGTTAGTTGGGGGCCTCATGCTAACTCATCTATTGCGCTCAGTCTCAGCCCCACTTGTGAGGTTGAAAAGAAACAGGTACTTGAAACTCCTCTCTCTCTCTGTAAGCAATTAAAGGCTCCTTTAGGCAACCGTGACACACAGTTAAAGTCTTGGCTTGTTAAGTTCCAAACTAACATAGTACTACGGTTCTATAAAGGATTGCGAATCACCCCTGAATATGGCACTCACTTGTGTCAGAATTGAGGATCCGCTCTTTCTGTAAAACGCGGTTCGTACGCAATTTGGAACTAGGTCTTCTGTGTGTGACACGCATAGACGGGCTATGTTGAGCTTTGTCGGCCATTGCGCTCATGCTTATTCCAGCTTTAATTGCCTCTTCCTTTCTACTGATGTGCGCGTCTGTGGTGAGGTAGACGTATCAAAAGTCTGCGTTCACTGAGTCTTGATGCAGGCGTTCGGTGCATATTATTCCTGTCAAATCTCGATTTCTAGCGTGTGTGCATTAGTGAGTTAATTGCATCTTTAGGAAGAACGACTACCATATGCGGAACTGTCCGGCATGTTGCTTCTGTCGTCGATATCAGGTTTCTTATTTGTTTTGAATGGCACCTTATTAAGCAGCCCCCTGCCCTCCCACATCCCAGAGAGAATCTTTTCGCAGGAAGTCTTAACAGCATACTCTGAACATCGACCGTTCCACTAATATCATCACAGCTCACATTCAAATTTGTACGGGGTTCCTGCGAAGCACCATTTACATGCGTTGACGGACAGATTGCGGCGTACAGGTTTACAGTCCTCTGTGCTCGTAATTATTCTTTCCTTGTAGGGCTCTCCAACTCCTCGGTACTCGAAACTACAAGCCGCCCACTTTGAAGAATCGCAATCAGTGGTACGCGTCCTATATTTTGTTGCTTGACCTTTCAGATCCGTGTTTTCATAAATGTCCGGTTAGCTGGGGAACTATAAGCTTACTTTACCGAGTAACCAAAAAGACAATTTTCTGATTGGTGCCGGTTAAGCTCACTTTTGTTGTAGGACAGAAGTGTTTTCTCCCCTAAGCTACTCAACTTCCTTTTGCTGTGAGGTCTTCAACTCTTGTTTTAAGTAGGTTGGGAATACCCTACTATTTTTTGTCGAAAAAATAACACTTTTCGGATCACCCTGGTGTGCAGGCCGTCAGGCAAAGATTCACTTTTCTCTTCTGCACTTCCGGATGATTGAACATATTCTCCAAGATCACAAATTCACACAAACCCTCCACCGAAGTACCTTTGTAGTGGAAATCTTAAGATAAGATCACACTTTCTGGGGTCGCTTCAATTCAGAAAATTTTTTTGCTAAAGTTCTGCCTTCATGCGCGGAGGCACGTTTATCTTATAGTGGGCGTGATGTCTACATCGCTACGAAGATTCGTCTATACCGTGCATACATGCGGTCAATCCTCTTCTATGGATCGGGGATGCTGAACTTTGCGCCATGAAGATAAACGAAGGCTGGAGGTATTAGACCATCGCTGCCTGAAGACCATCCTGCGAGCTAAGTTTACCGATTTCATCTCGAATGAGAAAGTTCCCACCCACTGCGACAGTATGACGAGGATATCTCAGACCATTAAAGAAAGGCGACTGATGTTGTTTGGGCATGGGAAACTTTGCTATGCTGCCCTCGATCCGGCGCCGCAGCACACCTGGGCGGGTCGAAGAAGAGGGCAACTGAAGACCAGCCTCGAAACCGTCGGTCAAGACATGAAAGCAGATCTTGGACCTATATCCATTCTGGAGAAGAGACTAGGTGGATCTCTCCACATCCGCTGCCGCCAATCGTCACGCGTGGAGGGGTACTGACCGTGGCATCATTGAGGCCGGCCAGATCAGGCATGATCACAGCCGTAACAAGTACAAGTACCTATAGTGGACCCTGCAAACTCAAATTAGTCTCATAGGACAGAGAACTTCAGTCAGGTAAACTGTGTCGAAAGAGCAGGTACTAGCCAGTGGCCATTGCCGAAGTCCTCAGTCCGCAAAGAAACTCAGCAACGCTGCGACACTGCACTGCCTCAAGTCCACAGCCCTACAGTTGTCTGCCAGATTGCTCTACTCACCTCTCACTGACTGAAAATTGACTGCAAGGTCAGTTAAAGATGACAGCAAAAAATACTGGGTTGGAGTACCACCATCCATGGAGTAGGCTTCAAACATCGGTAAAACTTAAAGTGATTTGCCAGATTAGTGGAAGGCTCCCTGTACCGAATAATTGAATTGTCGGCTTTATTGCTGACGACTAGGCCTAGCTGGCTTGAGCGTCGTTTGATCCATCTGCTCCTGTCTGGGCTTCGCAACGCTATCTCCGCTGACATCTACGAGTTTTGCATCAAGGCTCGGGCTCTCTGGCCTCGTGAAGTGAAGGCGAATAAAGTTGTTGTGTCCGACTTAAGACAAATCTTGAGAACTAACTTTACTTAAGTCATATCGACAGGGACTCTAAGATTAAAATAAACCAGGCCGTATGCTTTGTTGAGTGCACCACAGCGTCCGATTCTGATCTTTTGCAAATCTCTGATTTGGTTGAATTGAACTATACTGAGTGTTGGAAGAAGTGAAGGCGTGTCATCTGATCCGTAGCAGTCGCGTTCTGCTATTTGATATTTTGTATTCTGACGCTTACTCTATTTAACTGCGTCATCGACTAGGGTCTCAGAATAGCTGTCGGATGTGGACAAGTCGAGCCGGTGTTGATACTGGCGGAGGAGCATTGAGTAGCCACTACGTAGTTATCTGCCTGGTGTGTGTGTGTCGTAGCCCATAGTTGGATCAGTAATCCCCGCCAGAATCCAAACTGGGAGTAGTTGGGAGACGGAGAAAAGCCGC